GGGGCGTGTCCTTCCCAAGGGGCGTGTCCTCCCACGAGGGGGCGTTCCCCGTTCCCGGACTACATCTCCCGACATGCCCCGCGCCCGGCCCGCGGCGGTTTCCGGCGGGGCGGCCCGGCAGCGGCGGCGGCAGCGGCAGGTGAGGGCGGGCGGGGACCGGGGGGCTCCGGGGACCCCTGGACCGGCCCTGCAGAGCCCCCCTACCCCGGCACAGCGCTCCGGGAGCGGGGAGCGGGGCGAGAAGGGCCTGCGTGTGGTGCGGGAGCACGGGGGGGCGGCGCTCATTGAGGGGAGCCCGACGGACACGGGGCTCAAACCCCGCGGGTTTGGACCCGCGTCTGATTCAAACCCACCCCCTGAACCGGCCCTAAACCTGCTCTGAGCCCCACAAGCGGAGTTCCCGTCGCTGTGCGCCGCTGTGACAATTCGCGAGCCCTCCCGGGGGTCTGGGCTGGGACCCCGCTCACAGCCGGGGTGCTCGTCCCTGCTGTGCCTCGCTGCCGGTGTCCCCCCTTCCCCCGGAGTTCTCTCTCGGGCAGCCCCGCTGGTATTTCTTTGTTTGATCTTCCCCCCCCCATCCCAGTCTTAATGTTGACTGAAATTCGAACCGTCCCCGCTGTGCTTTCTGGCTTAATTGTTCTTTCCCTGTGTTTGCACGCAGATGAATTATTTACCTCTGTGCCTCGCTGCGGGGCCGTGTTTGCCCAGGTGGAGGTAGGTGAGGGCTCGGTGCCCCTCTCTGGGGCTGAGACACTGGGAAAAAAGAGTGAATAATGGGAGAAGGTGCTTCGCTGCGGCTGAAATGAACGATGAAGCTCCACTTCTCAAACTTTAGGATGTGTAAATGTTGCTTCCAACGAGGCCAGAAAGAGGAGTGGGAGTCACAGCATCATGGGATGGTTTGGGTTGGAAGAGACCTTAAAGATTATCCAATTCCAGCCCCCTGCCATGGGCAGGAGCACCTTCCACTATCCCAGGTTGATCCAACCTGGCCTTGGACACTTCCAGGGATGGGACAGCCACAGCTCTGGGAAATCCATTCCAGCCCCTCACCACCCTCACAGGGAGGAATTTCTTCCCAATATCCCATCTAAATCTCTCCTATTTTAGTTTAAAACTGTGTTTCCCCCCCCCCTTGTCCTATCTCTTTCTGCCTGTGCAAAAAGTCACTCTCTCTCTTTTTTTACAATCCCTGAAGTGCTGCAGTGAGATCTCCCGGGAGCCTTCTCTTCTCCTTGTAATTGCTTAAAGAAAGCTGGAATTGTGCCGGGGTGAGTGTTGAACTTGAAGTTTGCCTTTGGAAAAGAAGAACATCAGCAAGTCCTGGGCAGAGTCAGGGAAGGGGAGGGTGGTGAAGTTTTCTGTGCTCAGAAGGATGTTCAGCTGAGTTAGTTTGTGCTGTAGAAGCTGCAAGGGAGTGTAAATCAGATTCCTCTGCCTGCTGTGATTTCCTCAGAAATGCCTGTTGTTCTTCGGTCAGACCTTCTAAATGAATCCAAATTGCTTTTTAAGAGTAGACAACACCTAAAATTGTACATTTATGTGGGTTAAATTGCTTTTGAGGAGAGTGCAAAAAAAGGGGGGGAAATAAAGCCAAAATGAGGCCACTTGTGAGGGACCTGGGTGGCACAGTTACACCAACTAAAGCTGATACTTTGGACAGTGATGGCAACAAACCCTTTTCCCATTCACAGTAGGTTTAAACTCGTTCTTCCCAACAATGCTGGAAATGACTGTGCTGTTCTGTCCTAAATCAGGGTGGTTTCAAGTGTGTCATTGTGTCCTTTCACCCTGTTATCTGATAATATCTCACAGGGTGCTTTGCAAGGAAGGTTTTCCTTTTGGATTTACCCAGAAATGAGATGTGCCCGAGGCACAGAGCATCCTCAGGTCCTGGGAGATGGGGTGGAAATCCTGTTGGGAGCACGGGGCAGTGCTACAAACACTGGGAATGTGATTGCATCCCTGTTTTCATGCTGCTGGATCAGTGATCTGTGATTATGCAGCCCTCTACTTCATTCAATCACTGGTTAATTTGATTTCCAGTTTAATTTGATGACAGTTTTGAGAGCCAAATCGCTTGTATTTAAACAAATGGCTTCTATTTTGATCAAATTTCATTGTGTTTGGCATGTGTTGGGGCATTATATGGATTAAAAATCGCTGAGGCTGCGGTTCCTGCAGGTTTATTAGTTGGTGATGAATATTCAGTTACAAGCTGTACAAAACCTGGGTCTGGCAGGGAGTGGGAGAGGGGGGGGCTTAGAGCAAAACTGGGCTTTTCTCGCTGGTCCCAGTGATGCTGTGCAGCAAAGAAGCTCCAAATATCCTTGGGATCACCTGGATCTCCCTCAAAACATCTCATTTTCCAGGCAAAACCAGAACTTTGGGCTGCAGGGAGTGCGAGGGGGCGAGGCTGTCACCTTGTTCCTGCCCCCATTAAGGTGGGAGTGGGGTGTGCAGGGCGAAGAGGGGCTCCCTGCCCTTCAGAACCAGTCCCCTAATTCTGTTTAGCTGGGATTTTTCTGCCTGCAAGTGCCATGTGGGGTGACTTTTGAGAGTGTGAGAATGCTTTTATTATTTTGCTGGCGAGTTTGGAGCCCGTGGAAAACGAATGGATGTGAGACTGCAGCAATGTTGGGCCTCGGCTTTGTGTGTCGAGGGGGGGAAAAGAGCCCTTTCAGAGTTCTATTTTTATCAGTTAATTAGTAGCTCTTGCTGACTTGTCAGTGCTGTGGTGATGACTATTCCCAGCTCTTCCCTGCAGTGGGGTCACTTCAGGCAGGGGATGCAGCAGCCAGCATTTGGCTGGGGGTTTAACCCCTTCCAAACTGTTTCCCCAAATCCAAGGGCAGATTCCCAGGGGAGGAACCAGCATGTAAATACACAGAATATCGTGAGTCTTTACAAATTGCGATTGACCTTAATTTCCCCTCTGCCCTGGAGGAGGAGTTGTGTCTCAGGAGGAGCAGAGTGTGGAAGTTTGCCGGTGGCTGAGTGACAGGCTTGGGATCAGAGGTAAAAGGCTGCAGGTTTCCCAATTCGGGTTCTTATCTGCTGGTTTTCAGTGACTCAGGATGATCCGGGACCATGCTGGGGGTTTAACCCTGTCCAAACTGTGCCCCAAAATCCAAGGGCAGATTCCCGGGGGGGAGGAACCAGCATATAAATACACAGAATATCGTGAGTCTTCAGCAGAGGTGCTTTACAAATGGTGATTGACCTTAATTTTCCCTGTGCCCCGGAGGAGCTGTTGTATCTCAGGAGGAGCTGAGTGTGGAGGTTTGCTGATGGCTTGGGATCAGAGGTAAAAGGCTGCAGGTTTCCCAATTCTGGCTCTTATCTGCTGGTTTTCAGTGACTCAGGACGACCCGGGGGCGGGAGGTGACCACGCAGAACCTCTGCCGATAACGCGTTGGTGTTTTGCCCCCTGCGGATGAGGAATTGCTGTTTTCCTGGTTTCTGAATGACGAAGCCCTGAATCTGCAGGTGCTGTTCTCGTGTTGTTGGGTTTATTGCCTGTGGTGTCACTCGGGTTTGATTCTCAGCAGTGCCCAGAGATAGGGAGGTGAGAGGCAGCTCAGCCCCAGCTCCAGCCTGGTTGTCACCGCCTGAATTTCTTTGTTTGTTGGTGACTCTCCGCTCTTTCCACCGGGGACGGGATGGGGGAGGGAGGACTAATTATCTCCAGAGAGAGGCTTTTAATGCTATTAGCCAGAGGAACAGGCTTCATCTCCCAACTTGAATGAGTTGTGTGAAATAACACGAAGCCCCGGTGGCAAAGATACGAAAATTGAGAGCAGTCCAAGCGGCTTCTCTCTGCTGAACCCTGCAAATAGATTTATTTTATTTTTTTCCCCCCCCCCCCGCAAGCCTTTGGCTGGCAGCAGCTACTGGAGGAGGGGGAGAGCGGGTAAACAGATTGTTAACTTTATTCTTTTTGTGTTTGTGCTTTTGGAATGCTGATTCCAAAACACAGTTAGGAATCGCTCACCTACCAGCTGCACTGCGAAGTCGTGATGGGCAATTCATTATCGGGGACTAATTAACCGCGGCTGCTGAGTGTCATGGGGCAAAACAAGGTGCATACTGATGAGGTGGGTTTGTGCAAGCCTGGCACTTCTCCTGCAGTCGGTGCCTTTTGAAACAGATTTGGGAAAGATCATTGGACTTTGGTAAAGTTGAGTTGCCGTTAGACCTGAGGGTTTGAACCTTTTCACTGCCAGCTCCAAAAAGCTGCTGCTAAAAGCAGGAACCTCTTGCTGCCAGTACCTCACTTGTCTGCAAGGTTCTCCTTTAACCAATCCCCAAAAGTGATGCCCTTAATTAGAGCTGTGTTGCCACAGATTTAGTTGTCTAAAATCCAGCAAGATTAATCCCCAGCATTGATTTAAACCAGCCAGCCCCATATGGGCGTCTTTCATCACCTCACACTTATCTGTGGGAGGAGTGAACCTCTCTTTAATGTGCTTTTCTCTCCTCAGTTCTCTCCCTTAGCTTTTAAGGGTGCAAGCAAGAAAAAAATTTGGCCTGAATCCTACAGAGAAGCCTTGATTTGTAAACTTGGATCAAAGTTTGGGAGGCACTGACTGAGTTGGTGCCTGCACAGTGTTTAGTGCCAGGGCAAGCTCAGGGTAAGCACTGTGTTACTGAGGGTGTCTTAGCAAAAAAAGGGGTTATTCTGGACGTGAGGTTGCCATCACAAGCTGTGTCTCAGCCGTGGATGTGAAACAGCCGTGGAGGTGAAGCTTCCAGAGGCATTTATGGACGGGGGGTAAAGCCAAAGGTTGTCGCCGTCGGAGAATTTGAGCTTTGAACAAAGGAAAGTCACTGTGCCAGTTTTCAGGGGACTTTGGCTGCACTCACATGCCCTTGGAGGTTGTTCTCTTGACTAATCCTCCTCCTCAAAATGAAGTCAGGGCTGTTGGTCACCGGCTGAAGTCGCCGGTGCAGGTCGGGGGGATCGGCTGTGGGAGGTGGGATTTGATGGATATTATTTCTGTGTTGGCAGGAGCTCCCCTGCAGGTGCACAGAAGTGCTGCTGGGGGCTTGTTCTCGATCCCTCTCCTCTCCAGAGCTGTGTGAAAGCTCTTGCTGTTTTGCTGCAGTGGGTTTGCAGGTACAGCTGTCACCTGCCAGCCTTTGGATCCCAGTGCAGGAGAGGCTTCACTGGGATTCTGGGACAGAATCAAGGTCACCAGGGTTTGGGCTGGTCTTTGCTGGCTGCCTCAGGTTCTGTGGGAATGCATTTTTAAAGCTGCTCTGCTGCAGTGTTGACAGTGGAAATCTGGATGGATCCACAGAATTCCTGCTCCGTGCTCCTGGATGGAGTGACCTTGTGCTGCCGAGGTTCTCTTTGTCAGCTGGGACCAAGAAGGAGGATGATAATTACTGAAGTAGTGATAATCTGTCAGATTTGTGCTAGAAAATGTGGGCTTTTATTGTCGTGGATATGAAGTTTAGTGTCTGTTCCAAACCAGGTGTAATTTACTGGTAGGTGGGAAACAGCAGGAGCAGGAAAGGGGCTGTCATGGAATCATAAATATGCTGAGTTGGAAGGGACCCATCAGAAGCATCGTGTCCAACTCTTGTTAGGTTTGTTCCCCCATAAAAGGTGTTTGTGTGATGCCAGAAGAGAGAACAAATAATTAGAAGCAGAGTCTTTCTTCCCTTACATGTTTTGATCAGCAGCAGGTGAGAAGTGGCACATTCCCTGTAGGGTCACGAAAGCTTTGCTTACCTTGTGCTGAGAGTCAAATCAGTGCTTATATCCTGCTCCTGACTCGCTCTGTATCCTGTTCCTCCTGCCTGTGGATCAGGGCCAGAGGGGGAGCAAGGTCATGGAATTTTTCATCTTGGAATTCCAAATCAGTCTTTAGCATGCAGTCCCACAATTATGGACAGGAAGCCTGAGATTACAGGTGGGTGTAAATGGGATTTCTCCTGGCTCAGCTGTGCCTTCTCAGAGCAATATCCACCTTTGGGTGGAAGTGTCAGGTGAGTGGGTCAGGCTGTCTTGGCTTGTGCTGGTTTCCAGCAGTTTTGGAGTTAGGGATGGCTTTTCTGTACCTGTTCAGAGCAGGTGGAGGCAATTAATAGGCTCAGCACAGGCAGAGCAGGGAAACTTCAGGAAACCTCATACCTGACATTATAAAAAGTGCTTTTTCGTTATCATTGTTCCATTTCACTTGTCTTCTAAATACAGGATTTTTTTCCTGACTATGAGGATAAATGCAGGGACTGCTCAGTTACCTGAGGTTCTTCTGTCCCT